TTGCATGTGAGGTTAAGTGTAAAAGCAGGCTACCAGAAGCATGTATGTTAGACAGACAAAACAAAAACACACTCACTCCATAAATGTATATTATACAGGAACTGAAAATCTGTACAGATAGATGTATAGTATATACTTATAAACAGTGGTTCGTTTGGGTAGTGGGGTGTTTGTTGATCTTTATTCTTTGTTTTTTGCATTCTTTGAATTTTTCACAGTATACATGAATTAATTTTGTAATTGGGAAAAAAAACCCAACCTGTTTCAGTAAGGAGTTGGGGGATGTAAGCACAGTAATTGTATGACCTGACCTAAGGAGTATTACTTTATGCTTTCAAAACAGGGAGATTTTTAAAGTTCCTCCAGGATTTCTTGAAAGAGCTGCTTTTCTGTTTATTAAGCATTTAAAAGATGTGGCACTGAAGTTTATTAGAAGAAGAGGATAGCACTCATAATCCCAAGATTACAGAAGCATTAAGTATAATGAAAAGATACACGCAGATCTATAAAGAGAAACTGAGCCATCACGAGTAGTTATTCTTCACCAAAAGTACTGTCTCATACATTTTGCTAAATTGTCTAAATCCTGGTGCAGTATTCATTTCTCCCTCTATGAGCTCGTACCCATTCAATAAGTTGCAAGAACCTCTTGTCCTGGCTGGATTCCCTCCAAAACAGGACCCAGGTATGTTACTCCTGACAGCGGTCCTCCAGCTGGGAGCTGATTGTTAGCTACTGGGAAAGAAACCATTGGAGACAGAAAGGAAGTTTTATGTTAAAGTAAGAAACATGACAGGGAAAGTTGCATGTGAGGTTAAGTGTAAAAGCAGGCTACCAGAAGCATGTATGTTAGACAGACAAAACAAAAACACACTCACTCCATAAATGTATATTATACAGGAACTGAAAATCTGTACAGATAGATGTATAGTATATACTTATAAACAGTGGTTCGTTTGGGTAGTGGGGTGTTTGTTGATCTTTATTCTTTGTTTTTTGCATTCTTTGAATTTTTCACAGTATACATGAATTAATTTTGTAATTGGGAAAAAAAACCCAACCTGTTTCAGTAAGGAGTTGGGGGATGTAAGCACAGTAATTGTATGACCTGACCTAAGGAGTATTACTTTATGCTTTCAAAACAGGGAGATTTTTAAAGTTCCTCCAGGATTTCTTGAAAGAGCTGCTTTTCTGTTTATTAAGCATTTAAAAGATGTGGCACTGAAGTTTATTAGAAGAAGAGGATAGCACTCATAATCCCAAGATTACAGAAGCATTAAGTATAATGAAAAGATACACGCAGATCTATAAAGAGAAACTGAGCCATCACGTTTTGGAGGGTCTGTGCTCCCCAGGCTACGGGCACAGAGCAATGGCTGCCTGCAAGGTGGTACAGAACCATTTCTTCCAAAATGTTGGGATCAGCTCTTAAACAGGCACTCTAGAACTTTGTAACTTTTTAAACATGTTCACCCATTCATTTTTCTAATGCCTGGCTTAAGATTTCTCTAAAAGAAATGTTATGTTTGTCAAACTATTGATCAATGTGCATACATATAAACTATTTATTTAGGTCTGCTGTCCAGGCAACTGGTTTTTACTTTTTCATTGTCTTGTGACTGGTTCAAGACAAGACAAGCACTAGAATTCAAAGAACTAGAATTCCTATTATGGCACAGTATTGCTGCCTCTTAGGCTGGTTTAGTCCCTTATTTCCTTTTATTATAATGCCAAGTGTTATTTAGGTTTCAGTCATTTAGTAATGCTACACTGCACACATCAAGGCTTCTGAAAAATTCCATACTTACTGGTCCTGGCATTTGCATAATCACATATTGATACCCTTTTCCAATCAAATCACACTACTATTTAAAAAAAAAGAATCTGTGTTTTATCAGAGTTTAAAAGATGATGATACAACGTACAACGGCCTCCAAAAATGTTCCTTTATTATTATTAAGAATTAGGAAATCTTTTAAAAATTCTTTCAGCTTTCAAGAAGCATAAGCATCTTTGGGATGTAGGGCCTGACATGAACTTTTTAAGTCGTTTCCTTGGAGCAATGATCTGTATTAGTGAAGGTATTTAGCTAAAGGTAGTACCCTATACTGTTTTTTCGTATTTGAGCAGTCAATCTAATTGCCTTTTTAAGCCAAAGATTGAAAACAACCAACACTACAGACTTTAAGGCAAACGAAGTTTAATATTCTCTAGTGGTGAGAGGGAGACTCTCCGTTAAGTAAGAGGAACCCTCTGTTGCTAATGAGCACCAGTGGTTAGGGAATGTAAAAAGTAGAGTTTTCAGTTTTACTATTTAGGTGGCTCACAGAAGCCTTGGAGGGCAGGGGAAAGAAACTCAAGTAAATTTCAATCACACTTCAATGTTAAATGACAGAGTAACTTTAAAGGAGATATGTTATTTTCCTAATATCCAGAATTAAAGGGTTCTAAGTGAGAACTGAGTCCTAATAGGGTATGTAGAGTTGTTTAATACATACTGATGCTTCATAGAAGGCTTGGGATTTATCAGAGTCCTTATATTCCATCTTAAACCAGCTTGATTTTAACTCCAGCTTAGGATATCCTAGCAGAACTTGTTTACAGGCTGTGAATTCTTGTTTTCCTTTCCATCAAAGTGTTTTCTAAGGGACAAGCCATCCTTAAAAGGTGTTTGGGGAGACATCAAGCTCAATGTGAATCGACAGTGTGATCTGGCTGCCAGGAGGAACTGATTCAACCTTAGGCTGCATTAACAGAAGTTTGGTGACCGAAATGGAGAAAGGTCACAGTCCTGCTGCTCTGCAATAGCAGAATACATCTAGAGAGCTGCACTCAGTTTTCAGAATCATATTTTTAGAGCATCACCAACTAACTGAAGCACAGCCAGGGAGGTGAACCAGGATGGTGAAGGAACATGCCATTGAATAATGGTTGCAGAAGCAGGGCTGTTTGCCCTGGAGAGGGGAAGGATGGCGGAGGGAGGGAGGATTTGGTGTACCTGACTTCATCTATTTGACAGGCTAAGATGGGGGAGGAAGGAGTAAATCTGGAACGTGATCCCAGATGACAGATCTTGGATCAGTGGGGAGAGGTTGCAGCAAAGTAGATTTTGGGTGCATGAAGTGGGCAGTCTCATACATTGCTGAGCTTCCTATTGGGGTGGATTCCAGTGAAAGCTGGAAGGTTATCTGCTAGTTTTGCTGTAGAGGGATGGTTGCAGAGGTTGAAGGTTGGATTAAAGGATCATTGAAGGTCCTTCTAAACTTGAGTGTTTGTGATTCAGGAAGACAAAGTCCACTTTTCCAAAGCCTTAGTGCATATCAAGGTTTTGTAAACTTGAATTCTTACACATGGAGGGTTTAAGAGTTATTAGCAGCCCAGGATCCCCATTCAAACTCTAGAATGAAAGAGTATAAAACAGGTTTCATGTACTGCTTCTCAAATATGCCCAGACAGGAATATTTTAATGACTAAAAAGCAGTTCCAGTTATCTCACTGATACACTTACCTATTCAGTAAAGTCAGGGAGCTATATAAAAATTGGACTTCTCACAGAACAAAATTATTTTCATTTTCAAGTGGTAGAGAGTAGTCTTAAATACTCTCTTTTCTTGTGAATGGGGCTCACTGAGGAAGGTTGATCACCAGCACTCTGGGATAAAGCCCCGGAAGCTGCAGTTAACTTAGATGAGGTCACACGAATCGTTTCTAGATGGAATTAAAATAGTTCCCAAAGAAGCAAGTATGTTTTTTTCCCTTTTGTGTGAGCAAGCATATAGTGACTATTTCTAAGTAGGTTAAAGCATTTTCTTGGAAGTATGTAGAGTTATTTTAATATCAATCTTAAGATAGGGTTTTCCATTTTTCTTTCTATAAAATGGTTTTGTGTTACAACTCTGTTTTAAAGCAACATATCAAGTAAAGTATAAGCATCTTTAAAGAGAGCAAAAATAATTTTCCAAGTAAGCAAATAAAACTTTGCACTTCAACACTTCAAATCAGGCCTTGATTCATTAAAAATCTTAAACTTCTCATGAGAAAAATTAACATTTAAACCACTGCTGCTTGGCCAAGCACTCCACCACACAAGAATATGAAATATCTCCTCTAAAAAAGTACAAAAAGGACAAAACCACAAATGTGGAACTTCAATTAATTTAAAGCCCCAATCAGCAAAGAATAAATCCTTCGCAGATCTAATTACCAGCGCTCTCGGAAGACCCAGGCCGACCAGCCAATCTTCCCCGTGTTTGAACAGCTTGATGAACTAGGGGACTGATGGATATCAAGTCATTTTGTTTAATTTATAAATGGATTTTCCCCTAATACTTAAATTATCATCAGTACAACACAATGAAAATGGGAACATTCTGAATGCAAAGTCTATAAGAGTCCTGGAAGGAATCCCAATGAGGAATGTCACCTCTGTTCATTCCTCTATACAATTGATCTAATTAAATACTGAGGGTGGAAAGGCAGTTTAAAATGTAGCCATTTCTGTTTTCTTTTTAGCCTTAATTTATCTGTTCACATCTTTCAAGTACCTTCTGATGCTGACACACACACACATACACACAAAGAAGCCAAGATTTTTGCAAGTCCCTAATACTTTTAATTCTCCATAAGCTAATATTCAAAACGTCTTTGCCATAGATTTTGCTGAATAATAAATAAATGCATTACATTTAGCCACGGTAACAGTAAAGGAAGAGGGCCTTCTAAATCTGAACCTTTTCTCTCTAGTAATTTGAAAGAGAAACTAAAGGAACTAGTACCTTCCATATGTATTGTTCAGCTGAAATTAGATCCCTGGATTATACTTATTAAAATGTCTCCTTATTTTCAAATTTCTTCCTTATTTAATTACTGCATAGGACAGAAAGCTGCATGGAATTGTTAAATACTATTAGACCTATTTATAGTCTCTTCACACTGGCAACTTGAGTGCAATCATTGGCAAAGGTCCTGACCAACCCCCACATGGAGACTGCAATTCCCACCTGGCTCAGGGGTCTCCGACTGCGAGGAGGAAGATGCCGAGCTGGCTCCGTCCTCAGCCGTGCCCTGCGAGAGGAGACCCCGCCCAGGCGGGAGCTTCATGCCCAGCTGCTCGGCCATCTCCACGTGGTCCCCGGGGTGGACATAGTCAAAGACGCTGCTGCCTGTCAGCTCCACCTAGAGGGGGCAGAGAAAGGGTGGGAAAGAATGGTGTCACAGGTATTTCCATTTTCAATTTCAGCACCTCTGTGTTTCAGAAAAGGGAATATATGCATACCCCAGAAACTACCCTAGTGATGAGTCTTTTTCCTCAAATGCTTACAGATTCTTGAAGTTAAAAGAGAAAGATTTTCTTTTCATATGTGTTTATTTAGCAATTGTTTGGCCCAACGTTTTCTCATACACTGTTGTTTGCATAAAGTCAAAACATTCTGTGAGCTGTGATGTGTCTGTCTCGTGTTCAGCTGTTTTATCCAGGCATCATCAAATGCCTGCATGTTTGGTGTCAACCGGGTGATTGACTGAATCCTACAGTTTTCTCACTGTAAAGTTTGGGCTTTGTATAGAAACAGCCAGCACTATTTTCCTTAAAATACACAGATTTCCAAGATGTGTATTTATATACATCAGCTTATTTCTATGTAAATTTTAATGGAAGAAGTGCTGCTTACAAATACATGCAAAGGCATAACGTTTTCATTAAGTATTACTCATTAGCTCTGTAATCATATGGAGAATTTTCCATGCCAAAGAGGTCAGCTGGGGTCTGAAGCAGCCATTTTTTTTTCTTGCTGGTATCAGCTTGTTTCACATTCAATCTAATAAGAAACCTGGTAAAAATCTCCTTGAGGGCTTTTAAAAAATGTTTTAATTTGTATACTCTAGGCTGACTCTAAAGGTAGAGAATGAAAATCAAATATGAAAAGAGGGTCAGCCTACCTATTTCAATGCTGTCAGGCATGGCCCCTGTCTGGGTGGTGTGCTGTCTCAGGGGGGCAGAAGTTGCTGGTAAGGATTGACCTTACTTCTGTACTCTTCTGAGGCTATAACTCTTACCTCCTTCCAAGAAGAGCAATAATGGTCCTAAAATAATGTAGTTGGGTTATAGGTACCACAAGAGGGAGAGATGTGTCAGCAACGAAACAGGAGAAAGCTCTTTCCTGGGTTGCTAATGGGTTACTGCTCTCAGGTCAGCTATGATGTACCTTGGAAACTGCCAGAAGTTCAGATGTCACAGGTTTCTTGGTGATTACCTAGAACCCCTTCCTGCCTCAGCTCTGTTTCCTGTGTAATTTGCAGCATCCCTCCAAATTCCCCGAGTGCCTGCACTCTTTCTTCTGCCAAGAAGGAAGCCTGATGGGGGATGAACTGTCACAGAGAGCGTAATACCCAGAGCAATTATTATCCCCAGAACTCCAAGTCCCGGTAAAATGATCACATCTACTCCCAGACACCATTTGATTAAAATCTTAACAGCCTACACATCTTCAACATCTATCAATTAACAGGTATCGCCAGAAAAATGGAGGCTAAATTCCATTTGGTTAATAGCTATTCCTGAAAAAGGCCTCCATAACTTTTACCGAAAATGAGGTACTTTCTCTTTGCTATTAAATTACACTCTCCTTCTGTATTACCCAACTACTGACTCTATCATTTTACAATAACTATTTCCTCCATTTGATATTGTTACAGGGCGTAAATCAGGATTCATAAGTGATCAGTTTCTACCCTCTGGGAGGGAGGGATTACATGGAAATAATCCCTTTAATGTGCGCCTTGCCTCTAAGCATTTCACACAGCAATAAATGGGTAAACTGACTTTCAGCAATTAAGAAATTAAATGAAACTAATAAAATGTGTGTTTTAATATTTCTTGATGGTTATTTTTTTTGGGGATTAGTGAGTATGAGGAAGTCACTCTCATTTTGCACGGAGTCCAAATGCAGCACTTTAATAAATATTTCTGTCAATTTTCTCAAACTCCCAGTCTTTCTTTAATACTGCAGTGTGCCTTTTGGCAGAGACCACAGATTGTGATAAGATGACAACACAGGTGGGAGATTAATAGATTTTTTTTTTAGGGGTGCTGACTATTGAATATTCATGTAAGCCAGTCTTATAGCAGGGAGGGGTGGGCCTCTCACTCTGGAGCCTGGTTTGCTCAGATCTGCAGGCATTTCCTTTCCGTACAGTAATATCCCACGTACAGCATATGTACACGCACACTGAGCCACCATGTGCCATATCACATGATGGCCTAGTGGGGACTTCCTCCTCCAGTGACCTCATGGGATCTGCCACCAAGATATCTCAAAGTCTGATACTGAAAGGAGAGGTTGGCACAGAGAACTCCACCTGACCTTAGTCCTTAGGTATGTACTGTAGTCAAGGTCACAAAGGGTAGGGTAAAGCCCAAGCTACTTGGAGTCATAACCAGACCTGGAGATCAGAATCTTTTCCTCCTCTGCTGTGTAATCTTGGATAATTCCTTTAACCTCCCCGGGCCCTAGCATCCTATTCTCAAAGTGGCAGTATTGCCATTCTGCAGGACCTGGGGCGAACCACTCACATTGTATTCTGCAGGGATAGTGCCCCATGGAGTGTCACCCAATGGGAATGGTGTGAGGCTTGGCCCTGGGAGCTGAGAGGAAACGCGACTTTCTTCACCTGCCTCACACAGACTGTGTGACTCTGCTGAGGGGTCCATAGGGTCGGTGTGCTCACTGTGATGACCACTTTATCATGTTACAGAAGAACTTAAATACTAGCAAAGGCAAATGGTGGAGGTAGTATTTGGTTCAAAATCTGCTTGACTCATCCCACCACTTCTCGGGTAGTGTGTTCACAGTCAGAGAGGCTAAGTAGGGTCCTCTGAGCACCTCTATCCTTTAGCAGCACTTTCATTCAGAAAAGAATACCTGGCACCATAAGGGGCGGGGGCTAAAGGCAGGCAGCCTGCCCATCCCCTGGGCTACGGTTGCTTTGCTATTGGTCTCTTGGGCCAAGGAGGGGGCGCTAAAGTCGGTGTGCTAGCCTGGAAGAGAGATGGCAGAGGGTGAAGGTTCGCGGGCCTGGTGGAGTCATGGTCACTGTTATCATCATCTGACATTTATCTGTTACTTCTGCTCTTCTCATACTGCTTCACTTCACTGAATTGACTTTGAGAGCTAGAAGAGAACTTAAAAACCTTCCATTAATCCCTCTTCTTTAATACATGAAAAATTTATGGTTCTGAGGAGTCTTGTTCAGGTTTAACTAGCTGCTGAGTGGTAAAAGTAGGGCTGTAAGCCCAGTGGTTCTCAGCTCCCCACCTACCTCACTAAACGCTGTCTGATTTTATCCTTATGAAGACTGACTAGGTAAGATGGACTAGAACTCACCTGCCACTAAGTTCTATGTCTCAAAATTTGCTGTCACTAAAATCTGTGTCTCCAAATAGACTGCAGAAACCAAGATTGGGGATGTATTTGTTGATCAGACATTACTTCAGGCTACCTTGAAATAGAAAAAATAAATCCAATATTACTACAGTTAATCAGATGCCCTCAAATCCCCACTTACCAACTCTTCCAAAACGTTTGCCCACTAAGAACTAGAGCTAGTGTCTTGTGCAGAGTAGGTCTATCTTGAATGTTTGCTGATGAGTACAAGATGGATATCACAGCCTGAAAATAAACTTGCCTTATCTGTGCTTTATTTGGGAGAATTTAGGTTGGTTCTTTTATGCTATTTATGGAATGATTATTATAACACTATTTGCTCTGTAAAATGAGTTACAATATAGCATTATTATATATTTCTATTAAGTATTTGCCATATTCATTGAGACCTATACTTTCTATAGATACCAACTGAGTTTAACTGATTATAGGATTGTATGAATCCTATAGGATTGTATAAATGCTGGGAAAGAACAGGTTTTAAGGATCTCTTTAAGATAATGTGGCCACCTTTTATAATCCCCATCTCCCCCATCTATGACAGAACTGTACTTAGTTGGTTAGTTACTCAGTTCATTGTCTGAATTTTCACATAGTTTCACAAAAATTATTATTTCTTAAATTCCCTTCACATCAACAGTAGAAATTTAGAGCACTTTCACTTTATATTAATTATTGGTCCCCATCTTCAATCCTTAATTATGATCTACATAGTAGAAAAGTATAGCTTCCCCTACCCCTCAATACTGTGTTCTTCTGATTAGTGCAAGTGGCAATCTAAGGCAAACATAAAAATCCCTTCATTTTATGAAAACTCAGTCACTTTATATGGTGGTAGAAAAACAAACAAACAAACAAACAAACAAACATGTTCTGTTTATTAAACCCAAGAAACAGACCCACGGGACTGTGAGTTGCTCCCTAACGTAAGACGGAAAGTACGTGCAACTGTTTCCAACCTTGCTCACTCCATTTAGCTTTACTCCAGCTGAGGGACCCTAAGAGAGAAATTCCCTCTCACATTGCTTGGTATGTTAGGAACCAGCTGAGAATGTGGATGGGACAGGAAACAGGCAAAGAGTGAGAAGCAGCCATATCCAGAAACAGGATTTGTTTCATCTCCTTTCTCTCTGATTTTCCCCACTATTCGCTACCCTAGGTTTGCCCAGGGCAAACTGCAGCCACAAGGGCCATACCACACAGTCAGGCTACACCACATGGCTTTTCTTAAATTCATTTCACATTCTGTTAGCTTGCCTGTAATTTGCTCACTAGACACAGTTGATTTGGTAACTGTGAAGTTTCCTGGAAAAAAATGTAAATATATCATACAGTGGTTTGAGCTGACTTCTCCATGTCGGGTCATTGTTCCCTGCTGGTAGATAGGATGGGGGACTAATTTGTCTTTTCATACATCAAGCAAGCATGTCAATAGCCTTTGCTTGGCCCCTGGAGTGAGCAAATACTTTTAACTACAGCAATGTACTACTAACAGTGCAACTCAGTGAATTCAGTGCTCCTTTGATTGAAAGGGTTTGGTACAAATGAGGAACAGGCAGCAATATTGCCAGTTATCGCAGGACTGGAATAATTCAAGAGGATAATTTTATAAAGAAAAGATCATAAAACTTGTTTCTTTCTTTCTTTAAAAATATTTCAGTCTTGGGAAGAATCCAAAGTTCATTTGTATCACATGAAAAAGGTTATTCAAAACCCACCATTTAAGGTAGAATT